ATGTAGGATTTTTTACGATAAGGTTTGTCGAAAGCAAGTTATCAAAGTTGTATGGATGAGGGTGAGGTGGAAATATATATACACTCCATTGTCCTGACATTAACTGTCCCACCTGCCTTGGCAAGACTAAGGTTGAAACATCTCAGCGGTCTTATCTTCGGTGAACCAGGAACCAATAAATTATCCGGAATTTATAAATAAAAATTTTTCAAATATCATCCAATTTTATTTTACGCTTCTCCCAATCGTCAAAACATTTTGTTATAGGCACTTTCCGGGATGGCCTTCAACTCTCGCGTCGAAATTGTTTTGATATCTTTAATTGAGTCGACGTGTTTTCCCCGAAGTGGTTATTTCGGTGTGAAGAAAGGTAAAAGTGACGTGGAGCCAAATAAGGGAGATTTGGTAGTTGTTCTGTGATATTTGTTAAGTGATTGGAGGATGGAGTCATGCGTGTAGAAGTTCACGCAAGTGAGGAAAGTTCTCTGATCGCCATTCACTTGGGAGTGGCCAGAAACGATTCTTTTACGTATGACTCAAGCAGCTCACGACTTCCGGTCTTTGACCAAGGATCGCCATTCACTTGGGAGTGGCCAGAAACGATTCTTTTACGTATGACTCAAGCAGCTCACGACTTCCGGTCTTTGACCAAGTATCATCTGGGTAGCCTAAGAACATCCGTTTGAAGGCGAGCTAAAGAGAGAAGGCGAAATATCCCCTAAGTAGGGTTGTGCGCTGGGCTTGGGACCCGCCACGTAAAAAAACACCCCCAATGAAAAATTCACAACAGCCTCGGATGAGAGACCCCCCTTTTGATGACGACCATGTCAAACGAATTAAGGACTATGATTTGAGGGCATGCACCTGGAATGGCCGGTCCCTTAATTGGGAAGGTGCCGCTGCCCAGCTGGTTGATGACCTCGTGAAAATAAATTCTGACATCACCGCCGTCCAAGAAATGCAATGGACGGGACAAGGACAGACACGAGTAGACACGAACCAAACACAAGGAAGGTTCGACGTCGAGAAGCTGCAATCACAACAGACAGCCGAACGATTTTCTACTCGGCTTGCACTCCTGCTCTCTGAGAGCATTCGTCAACAACTTGGTATAAGGGAACTGTGGGACGGCATATCAAACTCCTTACGTACAGCTGCAACCGAAACCATAGGTTTTCGAAAAGTGCAAAAGAACAGCTGGTACGACGAGGAGTGCCGTGTTGCGGCGGAGAGAAAACAGGCTGCCTACCTYGCAACGTTACGATCKACMAMAACACGTGCGGGATGGGATAGATACCGAGAGTTGAAGAGGGAAGCGAGACGCATTTACAGACAGAAAAAGAAAGAGGCGGAAATACGTGAGTACGAAGAGCTTGATAAGCTGGCCGACAGGGGTAATGCTCGAAAATTCTTCGCAAAAATGCGGCGGCTTACAGAAGGTTTCAAGACCGGAGAATACTCCTGTAGAACCCCCAAAGGTGACGGCCGAGCTATTCAAACAAAATATGGTCGGACGGAAGCATGCCCAACGATTGGAATTTAAGTGTGCTCTGCCCAATCCACAAAAAAGGAGACCCCACAATCTGCGCCAATTACCGTGGGATAAGCCTCCTCAATATTGCATATAAGGTTCTATCGAGCGTATTGTGTGAAAGATTAAAGCCCACCGTCAACTGATCGAACCTTATCAGTGTGGCTTCAGACCTGGAAAATCAACAACTGACCAGATATTCACCATGCGCCAAATCTTGGAAAAGACCCGTGAAAGGAGAATCGACACTCACCACCTCTTCGTCGATTTTAGAGCTGCTTTCGACAGCACGAAAAGGAGCTGCCTTTATGCCGCGATGTCTGAATTTGGTATCCCCGCAAAACTAATACGGATATGCAAACTGACGTTGAGCAACACCAAAAGCTCCGTCAGAATCGGGAAGAACCTCTCCGAGCCGGTCGATACCAAACGAGGTTTCAGACAAACTCCCTATAGTGCGACTTCTTCAACCTACTTTTGGAGAAAATAAGTAGAGCTGCAGAACTAAATAGAGAAGGTACAATCTTCTATAAGAGTGTACAGCTGCCTCAACACCCGCGCCATTAGTTCTGCTTTTTCCAGAATGAATAAGGCAGCAACACAAATGGGTCTGGCAGTGAACGAGGGCAAGACGAAATATTTCCTGTCATCAAACAAACAGTCGTCGCACTCGCGACTAGGCACTCACGTCACTGTTGACAGTCATAACTTTGAAGTCGTAGATAATTTCGTCTATTTTGGAACCAGCATAAACACCAGCAATAATGTCAGCCTGGAAATCCAACGCAGAATAACTCTTGCCAACAGGTGCTACTTCGGACAGAGTGGACAATTGAGAAGCAAAGTCCTCTCTCGACAAACAAAAGCCAAACTCTATAAGTCACTCATAATTCCCGTCCTGCTATATGGTGCAGAGGCTTGGACGATGTCAACAACAGATGAGTCGACGTTGCGAGTTTTCGAGAGAAAAGTTCTTCGAAAGATTTATGGTCCTTTGCGCGTAGGCCACGGCGAGTATCGCATTCGATGGAACGATGAGCTGTACGAGATATACGGCGACATTGACATAGTTCAGCGAATTAAAAGACAGCGGCTAAGCTGGCTAGGTCATGTTGTCCGAATAGACGAAAACACTCCAGCTCTGAAAGTATTCGGCGCTGTACCCGCCGGGGGAAGCAGAGGAAGAGGAAGACCTCCACTCCGTTGGAAGGACCAGGTGGAGAAGGACCTGGCTACGCTAGGAATATCCAATTGGCGCCACTTAGCGAAAAGAAGAAACGACTGGCGCGCTGTTGTTAACTCGGCTATAATCGCGTAAGCGGTGTCTACGCCAATTAAGAAGAAGAATAAGATTGGCCAACACAAATGCGTAAAATTTTTTTGTAAAATTCGACAAACACTACTGAGGTCGACTGACATAAACAGCTGCTATAAGCACACTTATTGACAGATCGCGCTAATTTTTGGCATCATAATTAAGGACAGTTATACCAACCAAAAAAAAACTTCTATACAAACAGAAGATGAGAGGGGGAAGGAAGAATTAACGATACTTTCTGGACAGAATGTAGATGAAAATGACATTAACTGTCCCACCAAATTTTGTTAAAGGTTCAAAGCGTTGTGTCCTGTTCCCTGTTATTAACGGACCCTCAACCAAACATAACATGGGACAAATTTGTAGAAATACAATTAATACTCTAAATCACTCGTTCACCGCAGTCTCAATTCAAACTTTTAATATTATTTCATCTGCTTTAATTTCAAATACGGCCATGGAATCTTTTCCTGCAAGAGATTGTAAGTTTGTAATAATGCGAAAAGAAAGAAATAATGCATTCGATTTATGACTTCCAAGCATCAATCAAATATAGTAAAATTCCTCCATTCTTAAACATTAGAAATTTTCAGTTAATTTTTTCACGTTTAAAAGTCGAACAAGCAAAGCAAGCCAACTTTGGTTCAGTCTTCCTTGTGCTACATACAATATCCACGGATATGCTGGTTGCGACATAACTGTGATAATCATGCAATCGCATTATTAGCGTTTTTTGCGCCGTATTCGACGTGTTCGGACCGAATATCGCTAAAATGAAAGTTGGCGTTTATTGCGCGATAAAGCGCCGTCTCCTCGATAGACACTTCTGACCGATTATTTGACCAAAAATCACATTTTTACCATTAACCCCTCCCGTATTCACCTGATATGACACCGTGAGACTTCTCCCTTTTCGGAAATCTGGAAGTCTTCCATGCATGCCAACTCACGTTTAATATCTTCAATTGACTCAAAATGGCTTCTTCGAAGCGGCCGTTTGAGTTTGCTGAATAGCCGCAAATCACATAGAGCTAAATCAGACGAATACAGTGGTTGCGGATAATATTGATTGAAAATTTTGCGAAAAACTTACGAAGAATCATTCCAGTATGCGAAAATTTAGGGACTTTTTAGGCTCAAATGGTTTTCGGCACCATAAATTTGATTCCGCTCTTCGTAAAAACTGCCAAATCCACTACTTCAGAAAAACAAGCGGATACAAAATGCTGCGTAAGCGGTGTAGGTCAATAAAGATACTAAACACTAATGATTATTTTGATGTGACGTTTTGCACAGGTGTCACTGACAGTCATACCAGCACGAAAAATTTTTTCCGACGAATGGGTTCTTGCGCGAAATTTAAATTAGGAAGTCTTACTCTTTTTTGCCCTCAGTTGTTCTATATTATCATTTCACTTTTTTTGGATACCTTAATTTAAGCTTGTATACAACCAACCGCAAGTGAAAAGATGGTTTAATTACGTATACATATGTGGATAGGGGTAGTATTGGCACGATATTATCCATTTTAGGCATAACAAATGGGTATTAGACAGAGACACACACTGAATTCCATTAAGATAACAAATTGAGCGGTAAATCCGTTAACGACAACTGGAAATTCGAAAATCTTAAATTTTTATGGGATCAACAGAAAATTATTATTTCCGAATTTCAACAATAATCACAGAGTGGCCGATATATCAATTAAAAGCCGAACTAGATGCTGTGGTCCAAATCTCGGTATCATGTGGCTTGAAACGTTATGGTCGGTCCAATTTCTACAATTGAGTAAGGCTATTTTGAAGCCACTAAATTGTAAAGTTTTTTCCCGATAACTTCATTGGTACTTGATTTATATATGATATATAAAAAGTGGATAATGATGTCATGTAACTCTATATATATATATATATATATATGAATTTGTTATATTTATAATAATTTTGTTAATAATTTTTCTATTTATTTACAAATCGAAATATCAATGATGTTGATAACAACGGTACCGAAATAAACGAATAAATTCTTTCGCAACTTAAATAAAAATGCGAATGTACTACTCTATTGTGATCATGATCATTTCGGTGTACAAACAACCATCATCGGTTTGCTTTTACAATTTATGTATCTTATGTCGAAATGTAACAGGAAAAAATGGCTCTGGTGCTTCCGAAACCAAACACTGGCAAGACATGATATCAAAGCCGCGTCAAACTATTGTTCAATGGCATCGATTAAAACCAGAGTAAACATCACAAACACCAGAGACTGTGCGCCGCAAAGCATCCACGATGAAACGCGCCTTTCTGCACTACTTATCAAGCAATCCAAAAAGCCGTACTAAGCCGCAGTATAACGAAAATGCAGACTTATGATAAAACTGAAGTCACTTTTCAAAAAAACATACACCGAGTACAAATGTCACTATTGTTGTTATTGCTGTTTTGGAATTGGAAGTTGACAGTGCAGTTCTTAACATACATATGTGCAAACGAGTAAGTAATAGTAAAAATGTAAAAATACACATGAAATAATTAAAGAATTGTATTCATAGCATGTTAATACACTTTATCGTTATACTTGTAATATGTGTGTATGTAAGTATGTAAATCTCTGTAAAAAAGACGAATACAAGAAACATGCATAAAAAATTACTACTTCGTTTCTAGGGCATTCCAAAATTAACTATATTTTTATACTCAAGAAAAAACATTAGCTACAGTTGCACCGAAGCTAGTTTGTTTGACAGCTGTATGCTGCAATGATCCGGTGTGAACAATGTCCTCGAAGATTGCATTATTGTCTTACGCTATGCCAAATTCAGTGAAGATTTCTCATACAAGCACTTGATTCCAACAGGACAGTTTGTATACTCTAGTGATTCGATCTGATGAAGTTCTTTGAAGATTCTACCATTTCCGTAGATTATAATCAATGTCCAATTTCGTCAAATAATCCGTAGATTATAATCAATGTCCAATTTCCATACAAGCACTTTATTTCGAACTTCAATTTGTATGGCAGCTATATGCTATAGTGAAAGAAACTCTTGGTGGGAAAAGGACGGATACCGAATTTCAAATCAGTACCTCAATATATATTGAGTAGTCTTTTCGTATTTATGTTTATTATTTTATTTTATCAAACAAATATGTACCATTTTGGTCGACTTTTCGCCACTTCCGCTAGAGACATTATTCCATCAGTGTAAAACTTTCATCAGGGTAAATCGAAATTTCCAGAACGGAAGCGAGCGTACCATTGTTGGCTACACGAACTGATACACCATCGTCTCCGTAAACTTCACAAATTTCATTGGTGGCTTGCGTAGCATTCTTCAATTTCTTACGCATTTTAGAACAGATGTAACTTTTTCAGACTTATCCGAATTTAATTTGTTGGTTAAGTGAAACTTACGATCCTACTTTTCCAACACCATACATAATAGTATGACGACATCTATTGACAAAATACGAAAAGACTTTTCCGACTGAGGTTTTCTTTGGGGTTTTACAAAGATTGTGGTCAACTTAATAAGTATACTGTATACTGTTTATGTTATAATTTTTTTCTATTTAATGTTTCCTCATCTAAAGCAAATACACAAATCCTGAATGACATCGGATGGAGTACCTGCGAGAAATTAGCTTCGAAATTACTCTTTATAATGAAATCATTTTGGAAAGTAAAATTGTAATATTTATTTAAAAACTTTATGTTTATTGATAGATGTGAATCTTAACTTATAGCATATAGGCCGAAAGGAATTTTTTCTTTCCATTAAATTTTAACAGATGGAAATTCTTATCTAGCATATACTGATATTCATACTGAATTATACAATGCAGTATTTTGTGGAATACCATAATATATAGGGTATTCCATACCAAATCGACCACTTTCGAACCCGACCCCTTTAGATTTTGCTGAAACATATCCATCCTTTTCTACCCTTCGAAAAACATTTTTGAGAAATTTTTCAAAATTTTTTTGTCCAACTTCAAAAAAGTTATGAATTTTGTTATTTTTTGCTAAAAAATTGCTTTTTTTTCAAATAGGCATATCTTTTGTAGAAATTGACTTTTGGGGACCTATTTTTTAATTTTTGTGTTTGAATGAACTTTTCGAAAAAATACATGAAAAAAATTTAACACGATCAATTATATAAAAAAAATCGGTTTTTTTAAGCAAAATCGTAATTTTTTTTTGAAAGTTCGCCTTTTTTTTCCTTAAAAAACTTCAATTAATTTGACAACTATCCCTGCTAGTCCCGGAGTGGGACAGACAGTTTCTGTCTTCTTCATGTATGATTATTTGGCGGTACATTTTAGTAATGTCTGCCGTTAAAGTGTACTTATGTAAACGAAAACGAAGAAGAGTTAAGTACAATTCTTCTTGGATGGTTGGACCTAACATCAAAAGTTCATTCAATGAAATTTGAGAAGAAGTATGACTCGACGCATTAAAGACAACTCGTAATTTTGCGGAATGCGGAATGAAATAGTGTGGTTCACTCGGAATCTTATTATTTGTTGGGCTCATGTGACAAAGCGCTTTATACTCATTCATGACGTCCAGATACATTTTACGAAGTTCAGGATCTTTCAATGTTTTCCTCTCCAGGGCCTGAAACCGCCGAACTGCGATTTCATAGGAGTGACCGAGTAACTTAATACAGCCTTAAATGGCATTCTGACTTGAAGCCTTCCTGAAGGTAATACTTCAGCTGTATTGACGAAAAATTGTTCACACTCAATTTGTTCAGGTGTGAATTTGTCGTGTTGTGTGAAGCCGAAATACATTGCATAATCCAGAATTCCGCCGAAAATTCATAATTATTTACGCGCGACTTAACAAATGCACTTAATTTGGCCCCGACTTTTGTACTTGAATTTCCAATCTCTACAATATTTAATGTCCTTTTTTGGCGTCGAATCCGCAGTTTTTTTGCCAAATCCTCCGTCATGAAGTTGACTTGACTTACTGAGTCCAGCGAGGCTCTTGCGGATAGGTGCTCTCCACAGCTTGATCTCACCAGAATAATTGCTGTCGCCAACATTACCCGGTCAGGCACACTTATTGTATGCATTGCGTCTGTAGTTGTTGTTAGTTGCGGATGAGGTTCAGTAGCGAAGGATACTGGTGCAGTAATGTGTGTTGGACCGATTACACACGCGACATCGTTCCGCTCTGCATTTGGATACCGTATGTCCCTTACGCAAACAATTTATGCATAAGGTCACCGATTTGACAAACTCCAATCTCTGTTGAACAGAGAGTGGGGCAAGCTGTTAAATAGTGGTCCTTCGATTTACACTGCTGAGGCTGCTTCACGTGGTTCGCGCTGGTTTCTGCTATAGGTCTCGTCCTCGAAGATGATGCACCTTCAGTTGATAGGTGCTGGTGCCGTCTATTTAAGGTAGCTTCACAATCCTACCACAATGGTAGCTTGTCGTAATCCAGCTGTTCTTCCCACTTTGATCGGGTGGAAAAGTCAACTTTTGCCGTGACTATGTGAATAATTATCGCATTTGTGATTTGTTTTTTTTATATTTTATTATAT